CCATTCTCAAGAATGTAGACAGGAGGATTGCCATAGCTCTGCTTTATATACTCCAAGACACCTTCCATAGCCCGCGGAATAACATCATACTTGACAAAAACAACAGTATAAAAAACATTAGGCATCTGAACTTGGTAGCTTCGATCGAAACTCTTACCTCCCAATGGACTGTACTCCCGAGCAGTAAAACGAAGAAGAGAAGAGAATGATCAGCAAAAACCAAAATATGAGCATATATAGAAAAGCAAAAGGGTTTGTTTTGTTATCAATAAAAAAAAATGATTCCTACTTGTCAGAGATACGCCCATGTCTGTGTTGAAATCCGGGAATCCAGGAAAATTAGGCTTGGTGTTTGAGACAATAGCTGCGAGGTAGTGAATGACTCCTACAAAGTCAGCTGAGCCTTTAACTAGTTGTGATTCTTCCTCTGTGAAAGCTGGCAGTCTTGATCCAACGGTTTGTTTCATACTATCCGGATAGTCTCCAAATATGAGAGGCCTAAGCATCCTGGATTTCAAAGTGGAGATTTTTGTTTTCTAGCTTTAAACTTTCTTTGGATATGACAAAATCTATTGGAACGTCGTCTGACTCACCAGCCGAAGTAGAAATCTCTGGCTCTTTGAACTGAGATTTCATCATCCTTGGAGTTTGTAGAAGGACTAAATCCTATTCCAAATATGCTAAAGCCTACGGAACCTCCCTGCATATCCTGCAACATTATATATGATCATGATATGTTGCTCCTTTGTCATCAGCCCACACATTCAAGAGATAGATATAATCTTGAACATGAATAAGCTAAGTCTACCTTGTATTTTTTCTTATATAATCTTGAAGCAGAGGCGTGCGCAAGCAGCACGTTATGGGCTACGATATACGGCTCAGTGGAAGAGTTCCCTGACAAGCAGTTATTGGAACAACGACCAGGTGCTGTCAAGCCATCGTTGTAACCTCCGATTGTGAATATATTAGCCTCATTGACCGTGTTCCAGAATTTGACCTTGTTTCCAAACTCTCTGAAGCAAACGTCTGCGTAGGCAGTAAAGTCCTTGCTGCAATTGACAGGTAACTCAGATATAATCATTTCCAATAAAACATGTAAAGGAAGCAAAGTAAAGTCCTTGCTTACATGATTCTGCGGCTGATCCATCCTCCGTACTCGTCCTCGAGAGACTGAGGAAGATCGTAGTGGAAAAGTGTAACATGTGGTTCGATTCCTGTCTTAAAGCCGAGTTAGTAGGAGCTAAAACAGAACATAGCAGAAAGAAGTGACTGGTTAGTAGAGCAAGTGGTTACCATGGGTTACAAGTTCATGGATGAAGTTCTTGTAGAACTGTAGACCCTTTGGATTAATAGGACCTCTTCCATCTAAATGAGATAATAAGAATGAATACTACTCAGAAACTTG